TTCTTCTCCATCCCTCTTCAACACAGTCAAAATCAAAACTTTTTACAAAGTGGCAATCAAAGACTCAAATGTAGGAATCCACCATAAAGATGAAATCCTCACTCTTCAGATTGTTTCATTTTGTTGCTAGATGTTTTGATGTTCGAAAAGAAAGTACCAAAATCAAATATCATTCTCCGTTCGTCTCCACCAGTTCCTTCTTTCAGCTTTTCTTCTACGGTGCCCCACCCAACCTAAACAACTTTCCAACTTCTCTTCTGCCGTTTTCTCCCGAAGGCAAAATTACTATTCTTAGCAGTTTACTGTGATTTTGGATGGTTATGGCGTTGGGTGGCTTTGGAGTCTTCTCAAATTATTTTGTGTTTTATCTTTTATATAAAAAAGGAAAAAAAATGAATGAAGATAAATAAATAATCTGATCAAAATGGGTAAGGGAATGCCTCTGTATTTTAGTCTGCCTTGGCTGTCCTCGTCAAGTACTTGTGGTATAGTATTTAATTACTTCTGCAATTATAACTAGAATAAGTATTAAGTGATAAAAATAACTTTTATATTTGGTTTTTTCTCTAATCTTTTAAATCCCATGATTTTCTCAAAAAATTAGGATTTTAAAATTTTAATTATCTTAGAAATCTTCTCTAACTTAACAAAAATATCCAATCTATTTGTAATTAGAGGAATAGGAAAATGTGAAGAGGAAGATCTAAATTGCTAGAAGAGAGATGTAAGAGTTGAAGGAAGCCCAGTCATGGCGGACAAGCGAGGTGCGAGAAAATGAGCTGTCTTTTGTTTTTATTATTAATTTTTTAATTTTACCTTGGTTCTTAAATTTTTTTTTTTTAAATTGAAACACATAACTCGTTAGAGTCGGTATCCGGTTTACCCCTTAAAAACAGATGTGAGGTGGCAAAATGAGAAAGGGTGTCAAAAGCGAGTGCCTAAAAGCGACTGACGCTAGCAGTCCTCGAAGAAATATTTAACCTTTACCAACCATCTCAAGATCCTTTCTTTTTATATTTGTTATTATATCAAACCATAAACTTGAAGTACAATTTTTAATGACAATTTTGTTTAATTTTTAATACTTTTAGTAAATATATATAGTATATCATGGTGTGTTTAACCACTCTATAAATTCAATACTTTATTTATAATTTTTCATAAATTTTATGTACCTTTCATTATTTGTTAAAAAAACCTCAGGATTAAAGGATTTTCCGACGAGGGTTAGGTGCCAATGCCGCCCTTTTTAGTGTCAACACCATGTGTTAAGAAACTGGCTAATGTGTGTGAAATTTGATACCTAAGTGTCGATACTTATGCTTCATTATCCAAATATTTAGGTTAACTAGTAGCCACTTGTCATTTTTTTGACACATCAGCAATTTAGTAGTCCCACAAACAAAACTTGTTTGCCAATTCAACACCAACATTCAATTACTTCTTCAAAAGTAAAATAAAAAGGTGATATTATTCTTGTTTAGAAACTTTGCAAAGTGATAATCTTTAATTAATTCAATAAAAAGGTGATACCCTTAATTGAAAAAATTTTAATAAGTGATGTCCTTCTAAGTGTGAAATCTCTTGAGAAATGAATTATCAAGATTTGTATAGGTGTAATATGTAAAATTTGTATCAAAATGGATCTCTCATATATATATATATATATTTTGGATAATGATTGGTACATTTTTCGATTCAACACACTCCGATTCAACTATTAAAATTTGTCTTTGGAAATTTTCCCGGTATAAATTCAAATTTGAAAATAATAGTTTCTTAATGACTATATTATATATATATATATATATTTTGGATAATGATTGGTACATTTTTCGATTCAACACACTCCGATTCAACTATTAAAATTTGTCTTTGGAAAATTTCCCGGTATAAATTCAAATTTGAAAATAATAGTTTCTTAATGACTATATTATATGTTTCATATATTTTTTATTTTGAATTGTATAATCAAAGATAACTATTCTTCATCTTTCATATATCTTGAATACAAAATCTCTTTCATTGAGAGAAACTTATTACTAAATCATATTTAAATTGTTGGCATTAATGGTGATATATTTAGTTTTCACATCAAGTTGATGTTTAAGAAATTTTATGTCATTAACGGTGATAGGGGTATTTATAGTGTTATTAGGTTTGGATTTTAATTTTTTTTTAACTAATTCAATTCACTATTATGTGATAACTAAATTAATCTAACTTAAATTGAATTGATATAATTCAATCGGATTGATCAATTTTTAATATTATTAAATATATGAGATAATTTAAAAAAGTTAATATTAAGTAGAAAATATAATTATAAAATAACTTAACATTTAAATTAATAGAAATATAATTAAAAAAACATGAATTATAAAAAAATTCTTATACTCTTTTATAATTGTAAAAATTGAAAAGATTTAAAAACCTTTTTTTAGCTGCGTCATGTGAGACATCAAGAATAATAAAAAATAACTCTAAGCTTTAAGTACAATGCAATTTTTTTTATTAGTAAATACGATATTATTAAAGTATAGTGTAATTAATTCTAAAATGTTAAAATTTAAAATAAATATCACTAAAATTGATTAAAAGTATTCATAATCAAGATTTTAAAACTTAGCAACTAAACATTTAAGAATAAAAGAATATTAAGATTAATTCTATTATGAAGTTTTAAAACTTTTGGAATGCTACTTCTTTAAGGCTTAGCTGGGAAAATCAGTGTATTATTTTAGGAACAAATTAGAAATTTAGAATTACGAGAGAAAAGTCATAGACCAATTCTAAGAGGAAGAATTGCAAGCAAATCAGAAATTTGGAATTAAAGAGCACAATTAAGAAGGAA